ACCGAGGACATGCTGTGAGGTGGTCGCCGAAAAGGTTATGCGGTTGCCGGCAGCGGCAACGCGCTGCAGTCAAGGGCAGGGGCAGGCGGAGTCGGCGGAGGAGCAACACGCGGAAGAACGGCGAGCTGAAGGACAGCTCAGGCGAGACCGGTCTGGTGGTGAATACGCTCGCGGCATGAGGGCCCGACTGCGAGTCCAACATAGCCAGGCCTGGGGCATCTAGCTCACGTCGGATGGCTCGGTGGCAGAACTCATCAACTGTGCGTGAAGCTGGGCGCACGTGTAGGATCGGCGGGGTCGTCCTCAGGCGCTGCAGGCGGCTGCAGCTGCAGGGACGCCGTGGCATCTTTTAAGGCGACTAGGGCGTGAGGCAACGGCCCAGGGCCTTCCAAAGAGCGCGTGAGGGCTTGAGCGAAGGCTCGGTCTCGGCTCGCGAGGGCGGGGAGAGCATCGGCCCAAGATGCCCAGTAAGCCGCGACGGCATGGCGCTCGGCGCTGCAAGGTCCAAGTCCGCCGTGGCACGTACGCCCGCGTATCGTTACTGTAGAGCAACAACATGATCAGGATCGGTGGCCTCATTGACAATCATGGCTGAAGCCAAGCACTCGCGAGGGGCGGCCCGCAGAAGCTTTTGGTCCGCGCTCCGAGATAGGAGGCCGCTGGAGCACTGCTGCGCAGTGTTTTGTTCGCACCTAGTCCGGCTCCGAGCTCTCCGCTCGCCGCCAGCAATGCGCGCCGCGGCGTTTTCTGGCTGGGCAAGGCGTTGGTGGGGAGCTCTTTCCGTTGCGGTCCGGCTGCTCCATTGCCTGGGCCGAGCGACGGCCCTACACTGGACCGTGTGCTCGATTTCCACCAACGAATGGCCCAGCTGCTTGCCTCTGCGGCCCTAACTCGGGACCGCGCGCCGGCGCAGCGGTAAGACCAACGTAGCTGTGGAAAAATCCGAAGGGGAAAATAAGGGTCCGAGTGAGCTTTCCATGCGTTCGATGGAACGGTAAATTCAGAATTTTTTTATAATCTGGAGCTGCAAGGGGGGGGTGAGTGCATGTCGTCATAACCACACTGGCACTGCCCCCTGTCCTTCGTCGGCTCACACACTCGATTGCCTCGGTTTGCACACTCCCGTCCCATTCCGTTTCTCATTCATTCACTCAATCGTGCATTCGCTCAATCACAATGAGTGGCCCATTCACTCCACCCTTAACTAACGGCTTTTAATTTCCTTCCTTCTTCCTCTTCTTCCCCTCTCCTTCCCCTTTTTGTATTTCCCCCATCTTTCGCACTGGCAATCTCATCATCTCTCCCCGGGTCTCCCCTGCGCACCCTTTCTGTTCGAGTCTCAGTCTATCTGCCCATTTGTCATGCCTACCTACCCATCAACCTGTCCATCTCTCGCTTTGTCTTTTTCTCTCCCACTCCATGTTCGCTTTCCTCCTGCATGTCTTTATCTCGCTATCTCCATATCCTTAGGCTGTTTTGTTTATCCCGCGCTCTCGCCCTATCTCTCTTTCTGCCCTTTCTCCTTCCACATTTCTTTGTCTTTCGATGTGTCTCGTGATGGGTGCTTCGCTTATTTCCTTCCTCTTCACAGTCTTTATCCAACCTTGCCCTTCCATCTGTCGGCATGTGGCTTGCTGCTTGCATCGCTGTCTCGATGCTGATGTTTCGCTACGCTTGTATCCACTCACCGGGCATGTTCACACGATGAATCGGCTACAGCCGTTCAAACATGCGCGACACCATAGAAGGTCGGGTCATTGCCAAAAGTCACAGCACTACTGCCCGAGTCCCCTTGGAAATGTCCCATGTCTGCGATTTATTGGTCCATGCTTCCACTCCTGCAACTATACGTGTTGATTAATTACGCGACTTCGCACAAGCAGACGTGGTTGAAGCGTGGTAATACATGTTGGGTTCTCGCCCTCCATTTCTTCTATATGTGTCTATGTGATATATGGTGAGTTTGTTTCTTTCCGTTCTGGTATGCATGGATCGATATTCCTTCGTTTGTTTGCTGTGCCTCTCCATGTCTCGTGTGTTCTTTTTTTCTTTCTGTCTGTTTCTTCCTCTCTCTCTCTCGCCCTCCCTTCCTCCCGCACTCTTTCCCTTTCTCCCTCTCTTCCTTTCTCTTCTCTTTCCATCTCCTTCCTCCCTTTCCCTCCGCCCGGATGGCTGCAACTGTGTCATGAGAAAACCGATTAACTACACTTGGCTACAGGTATCGCGCGTAATAAATTACAAGCCCCGTGTACCTGGCCTAAACTTGCTCACAAACTCACCACCACGAAACCCCCAAGTTTGTCAGATCTGAACACGAATGTCGCGGCACGGCAAGCGCCGCGCGGTACTAGGGGGCGTGCCGACATGCGCCGACTCCCGCTAGCCGCGCAAGAGAGAACTCTACGAAAACCATCCCTGAAACATCAATCCATCCTATGATCTATATTTCACGAAAATCACGAAAGCACTAGGACAGCCTCACGTCATGCCACCTACTAAACATCAGTCCATCCTACAGAACCCACCTCCACAAAAAATCCTTCGAAATGCTTTTGGCAAAAAGCAGGGCTGGATTGGAAGCAAATGGGAGCCAAACGCTTTGTAGTTCGAATTATTGGAAGTTGGAAGGCGAGGTGTGGCCTGAGCAGTTTAGCAGGTTCTTCAGGCCGGTTCTTGTCTTGCAACATGCAGTGGCCGGTTTTGGAAGGGTTGCGAATGGGAGCCGCTTTGCTGCTGCATCCCTGCATCTTTTGTTGGCAGGGTAACAAGGCCACCCGTCCGTGGGCATCCCGGACATGGTCCGGGACACAAAGTTTCAGACTTGGGGTTGATGTGTTGGGTGGCTGAACCCCTCTGGTCCAGCTTCAGGCACAGCACCGCAGCGAGAGCCACGGGCACCACCAGGACACGTGAGCTCCCTTGGCAGCGTGATACTGAGGCATACTCAGGCTGAAGTTGTATATCGTGTCAGCAGGACACCCAGGGCACACAGTACCCCAGCACGTGGTTGTCCTGCAAGCGAGTTCCTTCACGATTGGCCTTCTTCGTTCATGGCAAGTTTATTTTGGAATATCGCCGATGTTCTGCAAGAAGCCTCGCTAAATTGCTCTCTGGATAGCTTGCACAAAGATGCCTTGGCTCAGCTCATTGCAGGCATGGAGGCAGAACAGCTCCCTTCAGATCCTTCCCAGTGCAGCAACCCTTTTCCGTGGCAGATTGCTGCCGTGTACTTCGACATTGCCAGCCAGCTTGAGTTGGTGGAACCCCATGTTCCGGGCGAGCCGGAAGGGGCCCGAGCTGCAGCTGGCGTATTGCATGCAGTTTACCAGGCCCTTCTCACAGCAACATCATTTCTGACGCACGGCATGGTTTCGCGGAACGTACAATTGCAAAGTTCGCTCCATGGATTCTATAGCTCAGTTGTTACACGTTCGGTTCATATGGCTCGAGGAGCGAGTGGTCGGAGGAGCCGAACCCTTGGACTTCACACGCAGGTAACACCATCGGATTGGGCCCGCCGCGCGGCAGCAGCTATCAGTTCGGTTTGCCGGCCTGGTAGAACGCAAACACCACTGCTTGTCAGTCACCGACAGTGTTCGAAAAGCAGCCTGCAGTATTCAAATTCAGCTAGTGGTGGCAGTGCTGGCATTGGGACTGGCCGAACATTCTTCAGTGCGAATGTCACTTTACAGGAGTTCCAGACGACCGATATCGCTTCCCGTCCGCCGTCGCATTCAAGTGACCTACAAGAGCCATGCATTGCGGGGCGAGCGACTCTCTGTGCACACCTGCGAAGCATCCTGGTGCAGGCTACTTGGGATGGGCGCTTGCAAGAAGAGCTGGGGCGCGTGGACACAGACTTCCCTGTTGACAAGTCGAGTAAACCGGGCATTTCGAAGCCGGTGCTACCAGTAGGCAGCTGCACAGGCACAGTCTCACAACTCTACGAGCATGACCAACCAAACGGCTCAGCGATGAGTTCAGACTCCATGCGAAACGAGCAACACCTGCCATCTAGTCCTTCAAGTCCAGTGGCCGTGCGGCGGTCTGCTTCCAGGTACGAGGCGAGAAGCAGTGCCACGTTGATAGAGAAGCAAGTCTCACATCATCTTCCTGACCTCAGTGACTTATGCGATGTTGCAGAGTGTGCTTCTTTTTCTGTGGAACAACTGGAGCACGCCCGCGTTTTCGAACTTTGTGATGCACAAGACGGCTGGACCCCTGCCTATTCCCAAGCATCGCCGCCTGCAGCCCAGCCCGCCTTGCAAAAGCTGCGGCCATGGGAAGCCAATTCCTCTCACAGGGCGGATGCTCTTATACGGCACTTGGACGAGGTCGGTCGAGGACAGGGTACGGCTGGTGTCGAAAGATGCCTGTATGCCGATGGCGTGTTGCCTCTGTCGAAGGAGTCGTCACCGAATGAAGGTACTGTGCGAATGCTCACAGAAAAGATGACGCAGGAAGGGCCTTGTGCTGGGCAGACCAGTTCAAGCCGAGACAAAGCTATGACTTCTTCGTTGCTATCGCTTGCACGTCCTGCGGAGCGACAAGATGCCCAGCAGCGGAAACAAGCACCTCGGACACCAAAGGGTATTCAGCAAAACGCTCGCGAACGGCAAGCTGGGCTTGACAAAGCACTGAAAAGTTCTTCTTTGCCACCAGAACCCTCCGTCAAGCTGCCTCAAGTGGTTCAGTGCAGAGGTTCCCAGAAGCCATCAAGCCTTGCTGCAGGAATCTACGCACAGTCCTTCAAGAAAGTGTCTTCCAATGCCGCAGACAAGCGCAGGCTGCACAGGTCAAGCCAGAGCATGCCTTCGATCAAAGTCAAGCAGCGTAGTCCCCCTGACTTGCCTGAACGCAAGTGGCGCCCAATGTGCTAACCAACTCAACCTGTTGGGGAAACATGAACCTTTAAAGGTTGATCGTTTCCATGTTTCACCGAGCTACTCGCAGTGTTGTGGCAAGAGCCAGCCATTGTGAAGCAATGATGTCAGAAAGTGCTCTGCATACATCAGACAGTTGAATCTTGCAGGTCCAGTCTAAGTGGATACCTCTTCACAGATCGCAAGCCAAAAGACTTTCACGATCGTGCAGGCGATTTTCTGGACAGGCTTGGCAGATTCCAGTCGGAGCCAAAGCCATGGCTGAGCCCCGGACGTTGCCAGCACGTCTTGCACTGGCGGAAGCAATCGGCTCCAAGCGCGATCCGCTCACACTGCCTAAGGACTGCCGGCCTGCATCGCATTGGCTTATGCACACGGGCGAGGCATTTACGGATGAATATGTTTAGATGGCAATTTCAATCTATTCAATTATTATTCGTTGCATGCTTGTTGGATTTTGACGGCGCCGTATCGGACATGAACTATATGAAATTTTCAATCCGCAAGCTAGCCACCCAGGCCGCAGGCCCCCCTCTGTGCTTGTGCAGAGGCAGCATCGCAATAGGTTTTGAGCTGTCGGTCAGGAGCAGCGAGACCCTCCAGAACCTCTGCGGGTACTGTCACCTTATTGTAGGAACACTCCCTTAGACGTTCTATCGCACAGAGAGGTCATGTCAGATTGAATACTTGTAACTTATCAGCGTCGTTTGCCCATCCTCATGTTGGATGGGGAGATATTTCTGTAGGCAATGCAGGCGCTATCCGGACTGAAGTAATCCCCTTACCCCCATTTATCAGACCCTCCCCAATGATTTTTCCAAATTTGCATTAAGGGCGGTCCGGAGTAGGAGCAACAGCAAGAGCAGGAGCAAGAGCAAGAGCAAGATCCCTCAAAAGTGACAGCAGGGATAAAGCACCCGCCTCGAATAACAAAAACACTCCCTCAAAAGTGAAAGCAGGGATAAAGACACCCGCCCCTAGAAATAAAAACACTTTCCGAGTTCTTATTGGGGGACCCAGTTGAGTATTAGGGAGAAGGCATTACGACCCACCGTGGCGTATTCGAAGCTGAGCTTGTTGTTGCTAGTGGCGGAGGCCCATGTTCAAAAGTTGTCCAAAGCACAGTTCGGAGTTGGTGCCAGTGTGAGTGTGAGCACGTCATGGCCTGCCACAATCTGGCCAATCCTGATGATCCAATGCCGATTACTGCAGGGCTGGGGCTCACACTTCGGAGCTCCGGCACGATTCATCAGAGGCTCACTCCCAGTAGCAGCAGCGGGCGCTTGCAAAGCAGGAAGCGCTGGCAACGCGCTGTAACTTGCTTGGCCCACCGAACTCTCCCTCCAGCACAGTAGTGCATTTTGGGACCGAACCCCGAAGATCGGTTCGATCATGCCTGGTCTTGTAGCGGCCATGTCAGGGGTTTACAGTGAGACCATGGCACACAGCGCAGCGAATTTTTCACACAAAGGTTTGTCTAGCTCTTACCTTCTTCAACTCTAGCTTCCGGGGTGTACAAACGAAGCCTGAGCTGAATGCAGTTCTGCAGTGAAAGCTTTACAACTGCTCTAAGTTGGGCATCAAGCCCACACGACTCGTCAGTCATCCGACTTAAAACAAAGCACAGCGAGACACGTGCAAGCATGGTCCAACATGATCCACACCAACAGAATCCCACTCCCACTGCAGCATGCAGGATGTTGCATTTGACTTCTGGAGCTCGACTTATGATCTAAGGCTAAAGTAGCCTGGCAGTTTCTTTACTTTGGAGGAGTGCTACACATCCTTTGTCATGCCGAAGGGAAAGCCCTCGTGTGGGCTGGTTTGGATGCACGGCCTCGGAGATGATGAGTCGGGCTGGGCAGATGCACTGGAGGATAGTTTCGACCTGAGGGGCTTGAAATCAGGCGGGTCCTGCCGGTTTATTCTGCCACGTGCCCCCAGACAGCGAGTTACGTGCAACGGCGGTGAAACGATGACGAGCTGGTTTGATTTTCTGAAGTTGCCGCTTTCTGCTTCCGATGCTGACAAATCTGACAACCTGGGCTGCTCACTGGAGGAGGCTGTCGCGTCGTGCGGCCGCGTCCACGCAGCCATAGACACACTTGTCGGTGAAGGCATCCCCGCAGAGCGAATCGTGGTGGGTGGCTTCTCACAGGGTGGCGCCATGGCACCTTGGACTTTGCCTTTTCCAAAGCCTCCTCAACTGCTATCTCTGAAGTGCAGCTGCATTCACCTGTGCGCGATGCTGTTTCAAGCAAGGCACTGCTCTCAACGCTCACTTATCCACAACGCTTGGGCGGTGTCATCGCGCCTCGTCATCTTGATAGCGCCTTAGTGTTGCATAGTCGAGTTGCCTGGAGTCTGGCCCCGCTGCACAAAAAAGCAACTTGCAACTTCTTCCATGCAACAGCAGTTCAACGGCATGCGACCACTTTTTTGCTTGGGCCTTACTCATGCTCGTACGGACGCAGTGGGTTCCGAGAGAGTGCACATTTCGTTCCTGCGACTAGGGCTTGTTGCGGGCATGGGTCTGCCCACCTCGTTGTTGAGTTCCGTTGTTGATGCATTCGGAGCAAGCCGAAAAAAGACCTCCCAGGTCTTCAGCGGCTTGTGCTTTTTCGGGGAGCATGTGGCGAAATTGGTTGATACTCCACAGTGCCGCGAATTGAAGGTCTTCTGGGGGCACGGAAACAGGGACAAGGTCCTCCACCCAAGCCTCCAAGATATGGGCGTGGAAGCGCTGAGACGTGCAGGAGTATCGGTGGTGGCTACGAGCCTCAGCCAGCAAGTGGTATACCCCGGGCACCCTGCCTTGAACTGCCTTTAACTCGAACTTGCTTGCTTTGCCTTCCTCAGGAAGTACGAGGTCGATCATGGCAATACGCAGCAAGAGATGGATGACGCCGCGGCATTCTTTGCATCTGTTGTAGGTGCATAGGCCCTAGGCTTTGCATAGGTTCACGGTACAGGTCGACCAGGGTTGAATACTGTTTCAATCACTCAATGATGAATGTATGTGATGTAGAAAAGCCATCAATGAGGTGGTTGCTGCATGTCGCTGTGCTTCATGCACTTGCCCAAAAACAGGTCTGTAGCTCTTTGTTGCAAACTTCTCACCCGTTCTTGCTCTTTGGGTTCAAGCCTGTCGCGCATTAGCACTGGCTTAAGGGAGCCTTCTGCAAAGGAGCTGAGCAGCTCTCGCTGCTTTGCCAAAAAAGGAGTTTGTGCTCTCAGAGCTGTGTGTGTGTGTGTGCTGCTTTTCGTTGAGTAGTGACACGTCATCAGTCATTTGGACCAAGGATGCAGCCACTGGTCTACTTGGCTGTTCGAGGATGGCTCGGATGGATTCAGTTCGTGGAAAGATCTAAAAGGGCCTTTTTGAACAGCTCTTTGGTTCTAGTTGCCGCTGGAGCTGTTCACTGCTGGGCAGTGGTTTACTCTCTCTTCGTCGCAGTGCACACTCGAGCCATGCGTCCAGCACTCAGCTTCCGGTCTTGACATTCTCGGCATTGGAAACTGCAATTTGGCATCATGCAACATAATCAAGGTCATTCCGGGTATCACCAGGGCAACGCAGAACAGCTTCCCCAGTCTGTCGCGTTGACAGAAACTTTGGCTGTCAGCTCTCTTTGGGTTTGGCTTATTGCGGGCTTCACGACCGCGGCCGTTCGCATGCTGGATGAAGATGCCGATGGACTTCCATTAGGACTGCCTCAAGTCTCCTGTTTGCCTTTGCAAGGCACTGCTTTTTGCGTGACTGTCTGCAGGAATGGAAGACCTGAAATGGGGGCCGCTCCTTGCCTGAAAAGGGCGCATCGTCACGAGATTTTCCATGGGTTGACGGCGTCCAAGGATTCTGCGTTTCATCCGCTCGCCCTTCCTACATAGTGCTCTTGGGCATGCCCATTCAGTCAGCTGCGTGGGCTTATTTGTCAGCATCATCTTTCTGTGCGCAACAATGGCTGCTATGAAAGGCGGCCGCTTTGTGGCAGAGGCGACTACAACATGCTGCAAGCGATTAAGTACTTGCTTGGTAGTGCTTCGGCTCAACACAGCACGTGCCTCGGCAAGGTATTACAGTCTGCGAGTCCTGCCTGGCTATTGTGGCGATCGGATTTGCGGTGCCACATATGGTGCTAGCCGGCAGGCGACTGAGTGAGTCAGTTGTCCGGCACTCAGTTTCAGCTCCGCCTCGTCACAGGCCGTTTATTTGATACATTCTTGGAGCCACTCGCTCGCCAAGGATCGTGCTTTATCCGAAGTACTACCAGCAGACAGTTTTGAAGCGGCTGCAGCAGAGGCTGCCGCTGCCGGACCTCAACTGTGCGTGATCCTGTCCCTGGCAGATGCCACTCGCTGCACAAACACGATACCCCACATACTAACTAACACGTGCAAGTCATGCGCGGTATTGCCGGCAGCGGTATATCCAAAGAATTGCTTTTGCTGGTTCGACAAATAGGATTGGAACAGACCCATCTGTCGCTTGATTGTGGCCAGGAAGAACTGGCAGACAAGGCTTCTATGTTTATGGTGTGGGTGTTTCCTTGTGATCTCCGTGTTCATGCTCCCCCCTTCGCCCCCTTCATCAGGCGTTATCCAATGATTCTTCTCCTCGGTTCCCCTACCCATGCCTTCCTCCGTATGCTAACCTGGCTTTTCTACATGGCTATGCACGGTCTTGCCTTTTGCTGGCAGGCATGGGTTCGGAGCCCATCTTTCTTCCTTCCAAAAAAATCCTGGCTCCCCAAAGCCCCTAGCACTGTCCTGACTTTTGCTGGCAGGCGTGGGTTCAGAGCCCATTTTGCCGGCATTAGTTGAAATCCGGTCCTTTGAAGCTCCTAGAATCCAAGTAATAAAAATCCAAGCATCCAAACAGCAAAACCTGCAGAAAAGCGCGGGACAAGATGCGTACATGCATGGCCTTAAATCAAACCCTTAACCCTCCAGAAGTTTCACCTCGACCTCGAACCACATGCCTCGCCTTGATCGTCCGAGTGTGAGCGCCGACACCACTGCCATACCGTATAGGAATTGAAACTTCAAAACAACAGAAAGCAAACCTAAATTTCCGAGCAGCCTCTGGGTTAATGAGTAGACAGGCCGAGTTGAATAGCGGAAGCCAAAAGTAGCCAAGACAGTATAAGGAAAAGCCAGGTTCGCATAAGGGCAGAAACCGTAAGCATGAAAGCAAAGCCGGTCGCACAAAGGAAGCAACCCACAGCTCAGCTATGCCCAAAACTCGGGCCGTAATGCTACAAGTTCATGGCGTTTGTCCCTCCTAAGGCACCAGGACATGCGTATTGGTGGCAGAATATTGTGTACACCATGGCATCTATGGCTTTTGTAGCTGCTGTGGTTGCTTGCGGTCGCTCTCCTTCGAAATCTGCAAACGTTCCTTTGCCACCTGAGAAAGCCGAGACGCTGGCCGCATGGTTGCACTCGCGGTCGTTTCCTTTGGATGTGCAAGTTGATCGCAGCCTGTGATGCGAGGGCTGGGAACTGAGGTCTGCCTGCTGCTTGATGCGATGACCGCACTTTGCATCGTCTTATCTTATCCTCACCTCAACACCTGGCTCTTGCGAATTGCCGTGGTGGCTGTCATCGCTTGTGCTGTGGCTGTTGCACGGCTGCAGCGTGAGCCTAGCCACCATCGCATACCATCCCTTTTCGAATGCCTTCATGCTGGGCCAATCAGCCTCGGCCCAGGCGCAGCACAGCCCCGTGCGGGAAATTTATTTGGATTGGCTCGAGCCCATCTTCGTCATACGAAGTGACTCGCACAAGCGCTTACCTCATGGGCAACGACAGCTTCTTCGACAGATTGCTTGGGTCGCCACTCGCATGCCTAAAGGTCCTTGAGGCTGTCCACGCCTGTACCGATCGAAAGAACTCGGGTCACTAACTGTCAAGATATTCAGGATCACAAGAGATAGAGAGACTGTGCTGACCTTTCTCGCTTGTTTCTGTCGGTCGCATGGTGTTGCACGTGAACAAACTGAGGAAACGTATGGATACCCAATGCCATACACACACTCATACATCTCCAACTTGCAAAAATCAGCGCCTGTAGATTGGTCAAGCTTCACCGATCCTGCTTCATTTACTCGCTATCATGCCGAAATGCGATGTTGACACCTTCCCCTTTGGCAAGCCAAATCTGGGGGTCACAAGTGCCAGCTTTGATCGTTAAAAACCCACGCAGGCAGAGCAGCGTTAGCGTATCTTCGTCTGCTAGACAGAAGGTAGGACAGCACTCTAATTGATTTGGGGCAATCTTGAAAGCCCTGGAGAAAGATCCATTGTGCTAATGCTTTCACACTATAAGCTAGCGCACACCTTAAATGGAAGGACCACTTGTTCGTGGGATAGTGTTGTTGCCGGTGTATACAATCTTTTTTTAGAGCAGGGTCCGCCTTTCATTTTAAATTCGGCTTGAATTAGCCTCATGAAGAGCTACAGAGTAAAGCATAAAGTGCATCGACTGGCTTCGCTTCGGTGGAGGTAGTTGCAGCAAGTGTGATGGCTTTCCAAGGCAATTTCAAGGTAATTTAATACCATCAAGGCATACCAGCATCAAACCAGGTTTTGTTCCACCTGAAATGCCAATTCAGTTCTTGTTCCAGGGCATGTTCTGGGACAAGCATCGTGCCAAGAAACATAACTGCCTACCACGAAGTTTATGTTTGCTTCGGGGGCCTGTCCATATCAGATTATCATGTTACGAACAGAGCACACTCATCATGTCCGACGAGCTGCTGATCCGCTGATGGGGAACAGTCAACTAGTGGACGCACTCATCGCCGATCTTGAGCGCAAAACCGCGCCCACTGTCAATGTCGTAGTCGTGCAGGCCTTGCCTGTCAACCGTCTTCAAGCTTTTTCAGTGGGTACGATTGTAGCAGTGCGACGTGTCGCTTGTTTGCCGCTTCTGACTCTTGACTCGAGGCTAGCATCCTTTGTGCCACTGTGGCGCTCTGGGACATCGCGCTCCATCCGTTGGCAGCTGCACAGGGCAAAGGGGCTGAGATGGCTGGCCAGGCCATCAAGACTGAGTGACCAGCACGAAGGTTTGACATCCTTTTTCCGATCACCGGTCGTAGGCTTTGCGCGGAAGGGACGAATAAAAGTGGGCATTCTCGTGTGACAGCACAGCAAGCTTTCATGCTGGCCGGAATGCAGTGCTTGATGCTGGATCTGCATGAAGGAACGGTTCTCGTGCAGCCTCATAAAATCTTAGCTGTGAGACTGAGTCGATTGTTCACACCGGATCGTGGCAAAGGCTAGGTTTTGCCACGCCAAGTTCGGGTTGATATTCCGCTGTGAAAGGCTTGAGCTAGCGACCGTGGATGCTTCTCGAGTCATGCGTTGGGCTGCAGGTTTATGACGAACCTGTGAGTTTGTAGCCTGTGGTTGCGAAGGGCTTTGAAGACGACCATACCTCAGGCGATAAAGCTACCGAGTCAGGAATACGAAGGAGGAACCTTAGATTCGGGTGGGACGACATGCGCATCGAGACATTGGCTTGTGATTAGTTTACATTGCCATGTCGACTCGCGGGCAAGGGCGTGGTCGTGGTTCCTGCGTTTCGCGAGGCAGAGGCACACAAGGGGCATCCGTCCAGACGCTTCGTCCTTGATGGGCCCACTGCACAAGCGAGAATTTGCGGATCATTGCAGTGTGGGATTCGTGCTGAGGAACCTGGCCGGAACGAACATCCACAGTCTTTCGGCCGCTCCCGGAAGACCTGGCAGAGGCCGTGGCCAACCTAGCGCCGCATCTGGATCAAGCGCGGCTTCTGGCTATCAGAGTACAGGAGAAATCTTGGGCACAGGACTCTTCCAGGGGGCCGACTGCTCCGTCCGTGTTGCGTCGTAAGAAAAAATCTCCCAATTTGCCACGTTCTTCTCTTCGCGTGTCATACTCGCAGTAAGTAAGTACCACCAGGATCTGGGCCAAACGTTGAGATGCTTCCGAGTGGGCCACATGCTGGAGAGTCTTTCCAGATGGTGTCACAAAGCGATCCGGAGCTCCGTTGGCAGCACACAAATAGGGCTTGTAGCACGGCCCGGGTGAGCACTAGCAACTCTCTAGACGTGCAGCTTCAAGTCCTGGATGTATTCTTGTCCCTTTCACCTGGCATTGCTCACGAATCCAAGATATTGTCAATGGGTGCTGGCTCAAGACGGCTTGGATCAACTGGAGGAAGGGCTGCAACAGTTCGCGAACTTCTTGAAGTTCCAGGCATGATGGTAGGTGGCACATGCCTGCGATTGGAAGTCCGGAATCACCTTCAGAATCGGTCGCAAGAAGGAGACAAAGCTGCAATGAGGAATGTGATATGACCGATTGTTATCGATACCGCAGCATCAGCACAACCCCGGCCCAAAACTGTGAGAACCTAGATCAGGGATCCGGTTCTTGAGTTGCAGGCAGCACATAGCCGTAGCCTGGATGTGCGGAAAGGCGCGAATGCACGGATGCCGTCACAGCATTTCTTTTCGGTATGTCTTCGGCCCGTACCCATCAGTTTCGTACCCACGGCGAGTATTCTCAAATAGAAGCTACCAGTCTTGGACAGAATGTTGCTATCTGCTGTTGCTAAGCAGACCTCTTGTCTCTTTCTTGCCGTTCATTTCTTCCAGCTTTCCACGCCTGGCCTGAATTATATAAAAGTTGAAATGTGGCAGCGAAGAGAAAGCAAGCACTAATAGTTGACACCCCGTATTTCGGTTCATAAATTTGTCTCACGCATCATGGCCTGATTCCTTTGGTTTACTTGCACCGCTACACCCGAAGCCCTGAACTTTGAACCCCCCAAAGGGATACTCAGAATCGAACAGGCCCAGGGAGCCGAGGAGACAACCGTGTGGAGTCCACCAGACTTAACCCCACCATGCCGATTTCCTCCTCGGCCCTTTTGGGTAGGCTAGCAATGACCAAGATGTGCCGTGAAGCCCTTCAGTAAGCTACTTCGGCGGGGTCTGCACTGTTCTTAGCAATGCTCTTGTCCTCCAGGCCCTTGAAAATGCCTTTAGTCCAAGGCGACACATCGCCGCACGATGATGACCTCCAAAGCCGGCTTAAAGATAAGTTGTGCAGCCTATTACTCATCCTCTTGGAGACATGTTTGACCCTAGACCGCCTCCTGTCTCGTTAAACTTTGAGGCCAGGCTGCTGCAGAGGGCTCAGAGACTTTCATGTTTGCCACCGAGGAGCCGGATGACAATTAATCCTACCCGCTGCACTTTATAGCACCGGTGTCGAGGTATCTAAGCCCATGTCCCATCTTAACTGTCGTCGTCAGGGGTGCGAGACAATCTCCGCTGGCATGGGTAAGCCGCGCGACTCGTCATGGCTCGCCTTGGCCTCCCCCCTGGGACGGACCCAGCTAGGGCTGAAGGGAAGAGAGGTGCCGAGACGGCACATGAGTTACCCGCCACCGACCTCATGTTGCCCAAAAAAAGAGGGATGTCGAGAAGGCATGCGAAATGCGCACCATCGGGTTGTGACTGGCGGACTGACACTGTGCCCAGGCTGCCATGGGGATGCATCCGAAAGCAAGAGTTTGGGAATTTGCAAGACCCTGCACAGCCGCATGTAAAATCAAGAACGGCTTCTGCTTACCCTGGGTGTGACTCTGCATGCTTTCTCGTGGGTGTGACTGTGTGATTTCTGCTGCACGACAGTGAAGCCCTTCAGTAAGCTACTTCGGCGGGGTCTGCACTGTTCTTAGCAATGCTCTTGTCCTCCAGGCCCTTGAAAATGCCTTTAGTCCAGGGCGACACATCGCACGATGATGAGCCCTCCAAAGCCGGCTTAAAGATAAGTTGTGCGGCCTATTACTCATCCTCTTGGAGACATTTTTGACCCTAGACCGCCTCCTTTCTCGTTAAACTTTGAGGCCAGGCTGCTGCAGAGGGGTCAGAGACTTGCATGCTTGCCACCGAGGAGCCGAATGACAATTCACTACCCGCTGCACTTTACTTAGCAATGCTCTTGTCCTCCAGGCGCTAGGCCGACACATCGCCGCACGATGATGAGCCCTCCAAAGCCGGCTTAAAGATAAATTGCGCAGCCTATAACTCATCCTTTTCGGGACATGTTTGACCCTAGACCCTAGACCGCCTCCTTTCTCGTTAAACTTTGAGGGCCAGGCTGCTGCAGGGGTCAGAGACTTGCATGTTTGCCACCGAGGAGCCGAATGACAATTCCTACCCGCTGCGCTTTTTTAGCACCCGTGCCGAGGTATCTAAGCCCATGTCCCGTCTTAATTGTCGTCGTCAGGGGTGCGAGACAATCTCCGCTGGCGTGGGTAAGTCGCGGGACTCGCCATGGCTCGCCATGCGGAAGAGAGGTGCCGAGAAGGCACATGAGTTACCTGCCACCGACCTTATGTTGGCGGGCTCGCCTGGTGCCTAGTCCGCTGGGTGACTGCAACTGCAAGCAAGAATTCTGGATGTTCCACAGCTGAACCCTGCAGATGAAGTGGGGTCTGGCCCTGAACCCCGACTGCTCCGAATGCAGCTTCTCCGTGCGCCATTAGCAGAAAGGGCCTCCGATGCCCCGCGAACAGCTTCTCTGCGCACCAATGGCACAAACCAGGTCGGATTTTGGCCAAGGGTCTCTTATTTGGTCGAAAACGTGTGCAATAGATCAATCTGAAAAAGTCATCAACTGACTACATGTTGGAAATTTAAATTGATACTACAATCAGGTCTGTATTCCTGACTTGCACATGACCGACGCATACCTTCGGACTGGTCTTCATTTGGCAACAGCGAATCGCCCAGGTGAGATCCGACACAATTTGCCTTGCATGTGACCCTGGCTTAGGGCACCGGGCGGAACAAAACAATCAGGAATGGAATGGATTGCCGAGAACGGAGTAAGGTCACCTAACCCTTTCCCACCCTACAGGCCAGTCCTAAACACAAGAAAACAAAACACACGCAAGGCTCCGGAAGGGGAAGGAGACCATTGCTCTTCACGAGCTCCCAGGGGAAAACGCACGGCTTTCGCCGCTACATTGCGATCGCATGCGACCTCACGTTAGATGAGGTACCAGGTACGATATAGCGCAGAGTAGTGCAGAGTGCGAATCATGTGCTTACTGGTGCTGTGGCCTCCTTTGTCCTTGTTCGGGGCCAAAAAGAGGAGGGATGTCGAGAAGGCATGCGAACCGTGCACAGTCGGGTTGTGACTGGCGGACTGACACCGTGCCCTGGCTGCCATGGGGATGCATCCGAAAGCAAGAATTTGGGAATTTGCAAGACCCTGCACAGCTGCATGCAAAATCAAGAACGGCTTCTGCTTATCCTGGGTGTGACTGCATGCCTTCTCGTGGGTGTGACTGCGTGATTTCTGCTGCACGACAGCGACAGCGACAGTACCAGGAATTCATACGCATATGCAAGAGGGCCCGAGACTGACCAGGAGAGGACGATGTCTGACAGCGGGCCAGGAAGGAATTTTCTGCAAGCCCTCCCCTCGCCTGACCCGACAACTAATGGCTGCCGCTTGACGTTGGGAGAAGTTGTTTTCGGTGCACCCGGAAGCCTTCAAACCTCCACTGGTTGATGTTGGTTGGGGCTCGCACACGGTTGGTGTTATCTTTGTGTCGGAGCCGTCGACTGATGCCCAGGGGGGTTTTGCAGTCTTTGGTCGTTTGCCGCAAGTTGAGCATGAACTCTTGGCCTGCTCCCCCGGATATGGCGGTGCACGTGGACGGAGAAGTTGTTTTGATCTCTCCTTGTGCCCCGCGATTTGTGCTCTTCAGCTGTCCTGTTGTTATGTTTACTTTTTGTGTCTTGCTATCAATCCTTGTTCTTGTCCTCCCTCCTGTCCTGTCCGTACGTCCCGCTAGCAAGAAACCCAGTGGCTCTTTTAGCGTGAACAAAATGAAAAATTCAATTTGTTTCGGTAACGAATTCCATCCGAGCTACAGGACTTCATGTGTGTTTGGTCTGTTCACTTCTGGAATTTCCCCTGCAACAGATTTCCTTGGTTTTACGAAAAGCACAATGAAGAAACCTGCATGCTTCAAATGCGGTAAAATCGTGATTGTCTTATATGCTTAATCAACTTACATGGTCAATCCCAGGTGGTAGAAACCTTGAGAATGAAGAGCAGTTAAAGCAAACTGCTGTGGAAAGGTTTTTTGGAAGACTTGGAATACAATAATGTAGAGCTGCGTGACACGGATATGTAAGAGGCAGCGAGCTTTGCCTCCTCAGAGCCAATTAAACCCCAGCACAAGCAAGATGCCATCACCGATGGCACAAAAAACCGCTTCCGAAAACCATTTCCGAGAACGGTCTGCCAAGGATGAGGCTAGGACTTGCGGCGGGTCGATCCTTGCTTGGCACGTTATCTCAAAGACGGTCCCCTCGCGTCTATCGCTTTGCATCTAGGAAAGAGGTGCTGCTGTACCTGAATTCACATATATTCACATGAGGGAAAGGCACTACTGGTTCCGTTCCGTTCGTGGAGAATTTCATGAAGCGAAAAAGCAATAGAGCAACAAACACCGGCACTTCCAGATGCTTTTCTCACAGAACAAGCTCACATCACTTTCAGAGAGCGAACTTGTTATATTAAAATAAACGCGTAACAGTTCGATGAACATAAACAAGCAACATTAGCATGCAAGAGCAGGCCAGGCTATGTGGTGCTTCCGGTGTCGGAAGACGGTTGTCGGCATATTTAACCCGGATTACACACCAGTCTTGTTGTCGCCACATATGCTCGTGCGCATCTGTCCGTGTATGTATGTATCTGTATGAATCGTATGAATGTATGCATGTATGCAAAATGTATGTATCTGGGCGGAAAAAGGCTTACTTACCAGGCCCTTGCGCGATGCACGAAGGAGGTTTGCAGAAGTGCTGTCCGGATAGACGACGATATGACCCAATTGTAACAACTACATGCCAACTTGCGGCAGGAAATCTAGTGGTAGACGCGGGTGACATCTCAACAATTTTGAAGTTGTCAGGCAGAAAAGCAGAAAGATGCGGATGCTCTTCGAGCTGCGCGGCTCGCACGCTTCTCGTGACGGATGCATGGCGAGCGGCAGGTTCACACTCCAAGACTCACCGGGTTCGAATTGCAAGGCCCACCGGAGTCTGCAGCCACATGCATGCGCCTGTACAGCTACAAGCTTTGCGGCCGGCTGGTCAATACAGTGCTTTGCACTTTTGCATTTCATTGTCGAAACCCCAGCCGTGAATTTGTTCTGCCGATTCGTGCAGGCTGAGCTGGTTCAAGCAAGGAGGCAGCAAAGAGCAGTTTTACAAAGATGGATTGGGCTGTGCCTCAATTGCTGAAAATTCGGATAGGGCGAGTGTAAGATAGTAAGACCGTACCGACTGTAGAATGCTCAATCATAGATGCACTCGTCGATCTGCGAACTGCTTCCCTGCATTGCCGCGAGTTCATGGATTGCCTGGGACTGTCCGGTGCCCTGTGCCACCGGGCGTCATGTCGACATACCCAGCCCGGCAACGTGGATGCACGCGATGACTGGTGCTGCTGCCTTGCACATATTCCGCTGCAGAGCGAATGATCAACAAAAACTCTGGTGTTGAGCGCGAGCTTGGGCCGATCAGTGGGCCTTCAACCGTGTTTTATGAGGGCTTCCGAAGCTTTTGTGACATGAGGGTGGGGCAAGTCAGTTTGGCAGCCTGGTTGGTGTCGTCCCGGATGCACTGGAAGCTGCGAAGCCGTTGATTGACCCTCGGCTAAATTCAGAAATGCTGCCTCGATGTCCAAGCCCCAGTAAGCATACGGAGATTGATGGGGCTTTTGACTTTCCAAGGGTACCATGGTACCAGAACGTCGGCAGCTGAGCCATGTCGTGGCGGCCAGCATGTTAGGTCGTTGACAAACTGGTTGATAGGGTCACAGTATTGACAAGATGCCGCTGTTTGTTTGCATCGCTTCACGATTTCCGCAAGATGCTGGCTCAATAGCAAGAGAGCTCCGTAGTTTGACAAGTGCTTGCAGGGTTCTGCGTGTTGCAGAATGCTGTGCTTCCATTTTCTAGTTTATTGCACATGGGTTCGGCTGGCCTGGAGTGGTCGGCTCCAGGGCCGGATGCGTGAGCAAAGTATGATGGGTGGCGGTGACGAACCCAAGTTCGCGTGCAAGCGAGGGATGCATCTTCAGCTGGACAAAAGTCTATCAGACCACCATGTCGTGAATCCATATGCGGAAGATACCGAAGAGCATCATTTCGTGTTGCCACATGGGGTAGACCACTTGGAGACCCACAGAGGTCCGTGCAGCGAGCTTGTTTATGGTCCCCCTTTGTTCGATGCAGACATACGGAAAAGGTATTGGGACCCCGAAGAAATCACACCGTTGGATTATTTGGACGGATTCATCGAGGTGCGTTGCATAAGAAAAGGCTCTAGTGCTTCACTTCAGGTGATTCAATACTCTTGCCGTGAGTACCTCCGCCTTTCTCTGTCATGTGGGCAAACGACCCAACGCTACCAGGGCAGCTGGGGCCCCCAGGGGCTCAGTTCGAGTATGCAGAGTTTCATTGCGGTGACCCATTTGTTCAGCATGGACCGGACCTTCTACAAAATGGTGTTCAGGAGCTTGCCATGCCCCGAGCACACACACTGATGGCAGCTCTCGGTGCATGCGAGGATGAGAAGCGCTGTGCAGCTGTGGCTGTGCATCCCGACGGATCAGCATTTCGCATGCTGGACAAGTTTGCGTGCAGTCTCGTCCCCGAGGCGACAAGCACACAGTTTGATGTAGGGGACGAGGTCCAACTGTCGCTGATTGTGCAGAGCACGCCTCTGGATGGCAAGGCTGATGTTACGGACACGAGCAAGACTCAAATCGGAGTCGTTCTTGAGAGCTGGAGCCTGGAATCACCTGAGTCACACGTACTTGTCCAGTTTCAGCATGGTCCCGTGCGGATACTGCCCGAGCACCTACAACACAAGCGGTTGTCGTGGACGGTAGTAAGGAAAATCCGTGCACGCCAAGTTGCTTGCAACGATTTGCAAGCCGAGACAAGCTGTGACGTGCACAGCATCAGTGATGCCGAAGTTCTTCAACGGGGCTCCTCGCTCACTGCCGCAGACTGTCAGCAAATGTGTTCCTCCCGTATGCAGAATTCCACGCTGCTTAACGGATGCTGCATTCTTACCTCGGAGCTTTGTGCCCTGACAAGGGGCGAGCATTTCAAGGGCAGCACCGACAGTCCCGATCAGCTTGAAGAGTCAGCTGCATCTTGCAGGCAACTTCCTTGCTCGTTGGACCCATCTTGCTCGTTTGGAGCTGGTGACTTTGGTGTGCACTCGGACGCAAAAGCTGAGGATGAAGGTGCAGAAACCACGGTGTACTTCGATTTCGCACATCCATTAAGCATGCCTTTCTATTTTGACGTGGAGAACTTGCAGATCTTTCACTTCACTTCGCAGGACAAGAGCGCCAGAAAAGCAAGGCGTGCAGGCAGACTGGTTCATCCGATTGGATCTACTACCGTCATCCCCTCGAATGCAAGCCGTGTCAATTTGGGCTTGGAGGTGAACCGCATGACTGACTTTCAGGTCGCACATCACCAGCTGCAGCTTGTGTGTGATGCTTTCGGACAGAAGCTGGGTCGGAAGTTGACACCTCCGAACCTGCAAGAGGCTGCTGGATCCGGTGAGTGCGATGAACCTCACGAGGCCTTTGAGAGCTGCTTGATCAGAGTCGGCTGTGGAATGTTGGGAGATCATCAACCCTTTGCACCGCCATGGTTTGCTCAGCTCCCGTTTGACATTCTGGCTTGGCAGGCTCCAGCTGCCTTCTGCTGCGGTAGACCGTACACTATCGATCAGCGGGAGGACTCGTGGATGAAGACCTTGCTGGATTCGGCTGGTATCCAAGCAGTCTCCATTTCAAAAGTTGAAGATTCCAAGGCACATCAAGGCATGCAAGCTTCTTTGGAGACAGGCTCCGCAGCCCTCAAGAAATTGCTGTCCAGTCATATCGCCGATGAAGAGATGTTGAACTGGCTCGGCCAGTTGGTGCGGACTGCCTTGCACGAGTTCAAGAAGATCCTTACCGATTTAAAAGAGACCATAGACTCGGAAGGCCCGGAATTGGAGATCTCGTCGGATGGCACCTCCTTCTTCCAGGTGCAGGAGTTTGGTGATCAGCAGACACCGTCTGGCCGGAGGGGAACGGAGGTAGCCCGATGGTGTTCAGAGAGAGGTGCCTTCCTGCAGATTGACCCGAAGTCAAACAGTACTGGACTGCAAAAGACATGGAACCTTGTTGCAGCAATTCCAGGCGCGATCTTCAACTATGGTTTGCGCCCGCTCTGGAACTTTTTGGCAAGACCATTGCTTAAGTGGGGGCTGTCTTTGATGAAGTGGGTCCTCGAACATCCGAGAGCCGCACTATTTATTTCGAAGTTTGCATTGGCCGTGCGCAATCGCATGTGTGAGAAGGCTTCGTGGTATGTCTACGGAAAGCCGACGGAGTCCTCTGTCGGAGCTTTCACCAAAATGTCCAGTGCTTTCAGCGAGCCGCATCCTCGGTCCCGCAGCCAGTTGCAACACCACCAAACCCATTACTGTGGTAGCTCGAGCATGCCCAGAATTGCCATGATGTGACATTAGATATGACATGGTGGGATGTATAAGCGGCATGCGCAGGGCCTGGATACGGACGCTGAGGCAACCACTGTGCCGTAGGCGTCACACTCCATCTTATTTGCATAACACTTCTTTGTATCAGCATGTGCCTTCTACACATACGTGACATTGGAGTCTGATGTGTTGAAATTGTATCATGCGGGCTGAAAGCTTCTTCAAAGCATGACCTCTCCAAAATCTTCCAAGGTTCAGGAACTACACAGCGCAGATGTTTACGCCGGCTACGATGCTGACAATGCTACAGGATGTAGTTGGCTCGTCCACGTTCGTGAACACAGTGGCGGACATAGGAAAGGCCAGCTATGCGCTGATACTGGCATGGACCGGCTTTGCGTCTGGTGGGGCCGCAATGGCCTTACTGTCCAGTTTCTCAGCACTGCTTGCCGAGGCGTCCGTGGAGGCAGGAAGGCGGGCACTGGAATTGGTAGTATACCAGGAAATTGCCAAGGAGATCCCATCGAACCTCTTCGATATGCTTGCAAACAAGTGCCTGCACAAGCGCGAGAAGACGAGAGTGACATGGACAGCTTCCAAAGACGAGATTTTGGCGACTGGTACAAAAGCTGTGGAAGAAGTAACGAAGAGCTTTGTGGAAGCAGGGCAGGGACTTGCCAATGAAGTTTCACGCTGGACCTCATTCTTGAAACGTTCCGGTTGACGTAGCATTCTGAGGAGAATCCGAAAAATGTTTCGCTGGTGCGAGAGCTGCTTTGATGTCAATTGTAATGCTCGTTGCAAAAGGCGACAGACTCTCGCCGAGGCTGATCCACGTTGCAACCACTGAAGCTATCGACGGCAACCGGCAGGCAGCGATAAGATTTGGTGCCGTAGGCTCCTGACAGAGCTCCCACATCTGACGCATGCGGTCCACACGCATGCTAGAGTCGTCTCATGCCATCTCCTTCGCCCACCCGATCTTGGACTCTTGCTTGTTTGCAGCTGCGCGACCTTGTACCGAGCCATGAGGAAGAGCATGGAGAGCCGAAGTCAATTGACAGGGACTTCAGGGCATTGACAAGATTTACAAAAGCAAGTAAGCGTTGTCGCAACGATTTCGATACAAGTCGTTATAGCTTGGGCTTGGGGGGGCGAAGGAGCGGGATCCAGAGCAGCAAATGCTGGATCCGCAAGGGTCCGGAGGATTTCTGACTTCATGAAGCTTTGTTACAAGCAAGCGCAAACAACCCACCCAGGAGATCCTGAATGCATGACCACTTGGCACGGGCGGACCTGCTGTCAGCCATTTCAATGTTTAACGATTTCACGCGCCTGTTTGGATGCCAGGGACTTCCCAGCGAACCAAGGAAGGCTGAACCGCCGTGGCACACTGCCTTCGCACCTTCAGTGTCTCTACCTGGAGCTCGTTGAACGCCTGTAGGTACCTGCGAAAGGTTCCAAGCAAAGTCTATATTCTACATCGTCCTCGGTGCACGCGGCAAGCAAGCGCACTGTGAGTTCTATCTTTTTCAAGCAAAAGCTTGCAATCCCACGATCATCTGAGGCATCGGGCCATGCCAGCCTCACACCGGAGGAGTAGACAGATTTGGTCAGCTTCCAGTAGCATCACCTGCCAGCCCAAATCACGACTCCAAAGCATGCTGCCCAGTAGGCGAGTGAGCTTGCTGAAAACGAGTAAGGCACGAAGCGAAAAGGAAGTTTCGAAAAGAAACCCGCACCGTCCACAAATCTCGGCCTGTCAGTCCAAAGCAATCGCGGGAGCCAGTATCGTCCCTGCCGATGCGCACCAAGTGAAAACGAAATTCTGCGGAAACTGAAGGAAGCTTGCGGGCTCAGCAGCCCGAAGACAATCACCCCTGACAGCCAAACATCAACAACTACCCTGGTGTTTGCGGCGACACTTCTTGTCAGCATGTGGGAGGGTAGGGCCCAGGGTTAGGGTTTGATTTAGGGTTGCTGGTTTAGCGCTGAGGAGTTTACGGAAAAAGGGTCAAAACTAGCATCTGGAACCAATAATAAGAACTCAATACAAGACAATCGACAACAAGTTTTCAAGCCTATATGGGCCCATTAAAACCAACAATGACAAAAGCCAAGAAAACATATGTCACCAATAGAAAACCCATAAAAGGCCAATAGAAAACTCATACAGCTAGTAGAAAAACATACGAGACAAAGAAAGGCAGCTCAGCTGGCCCTGTGTCGGTAACCACTCCGAATACCGGAGTCTGGGAGATGGGTGGGGCTGGACCTCGCGGTTGGCCGTGCAGGAGGGCTCATCCAAAGACCCGGTCATGCCAAGTGGACCTCTTTCTTAACAGCGCCCCGGGGGAAGCAATTCCATGGCCGACCCCCTCGGAGAGCCCTCTGGTTTGGCTTCCATGGCACGTCCAGGATTGAGAATGCCGAGAGGCCGGACACACGACCCGGAGCCGGCGAGGAAGAGTGAGACTCACGGCGAGTGAGCCTGGTCTACCCTTTTGGAGTGTTTTGGGTTGCTTTCTTCCGAGCCTGGCCGGAGGTGGATGGTGGGGAGTGCGGGGCGGGGTGTAGGGTGTGCGCATGAGTCGTGAACGCCACTTTCGGTGACTTTTTGTTCATATTTGGTTGTGGTTGTAGTTGGGCTGCTGCCGTTGTTGTTACTGCTGGTTTTGTTGCTGCTGTGCTTCTGGCTAATGTCTGGTTATTGTTTGTGTCTATTATTGCAATCCTTTTCGGGTAGCAGCCTGCTGCTGCTGGTGTTTGTGTTTCTGGTGTTGGTTGGGTGTTGAAGGTCTTGATTGACTGAGGCCGTTGATGGTGTTAAGGGGTTGAAGATGCTGGGCGTGTTGACGGTGGTTTATTAATTAATCACTATGCAGGCTGTTGAAGGCGTTCAGGATGTTCAGGTGCGTTCAGGGTGCGAGGGTGTTGCGGGCGTTCTGGGACGTTGAGGGCATTGTTGAGGCCGAGGGGAAAGTTGCTCAGGGCTTACGGAGTTTAGGGTTTAGGGGGTTTTGTTTGGGTCTAGGGGTTTATGTAGGGTTTAGGGTGTAAAGTTATAATCACCACGAGTTTCGTTCGCAATTGGACTTCATTCCTTTTTACGTGATATTATGTTGTCGTGCGGATCACACCGGCTTGAGTCGCGGATATACACAACATCGAACCACAAAAATACCGTCAATAAATCCATTCCTTGCCGAACCTTGAAATAGTAGTCCGAAAGATTCGCGAAATCCTTAACCTGAAGTCCTAGACTAGTTGAACCACAAAATTGCGGTTAACGAATCTCATTAGATATGTGGGGCCAGGGGGGTGAAAAAGTGCCCACGAATCTTATTAGATATGGGGGGCCAGGGGATAAATCTACGAATCTCATGATATGGATGCCACGGGGGGATGAAAAAGTTAAATCCCCACGAGTCTCATTAGGTACGGGGGTCCACGGGGCGTGCAAAAGTTAAATGCCCACGCAATTCCATTAGGTATGGGAGGCCACGGGTGACGAAAAAGCTAAGATAAAGGGCTCCGGCCCTTTCCTCTAATGCGTTCGTTGCTGCAAATCTCGCCGGCTTCCGTTCGGATATATATATATATATATATAGAAATGTTTCTTTATCGACGATGGTTCTCTATGTATGTCTTCATATAGATCTACATCTCTGCGAAATTGCTTTTATGTTTATATTCATGATCCGCATCTATACCTCTATCATTGCCTATTCGTGTGTGCAACTTTTTAAAAAAAGATATTCTAGTCTACATCATTGTCTATACCTAAATGTGGATTTCGAGCTTTATTTGCATTTACAGTTATATTTATGTTCATAGTTGCCTATGTATGTACACTTGCACGTATGTTTATATTGGTATGTGTGTCCAGAACATGATTGTGTCTATATGTTTCCAAATTTGTATATTTGTTCATATAGTATACATATGTATACCTGTGTATTCAGTGTCTATATATTGTTTATATATTTAAACGTCCGTATATCTACATGTTTATGTATCTGTGTATCTAGCTACTCATATATTTTTGTATTTATGTATGTCTCTATATCTACAAAATCTGTTTATGCATATGTCTATGTATATATGTAAGAACACAATCCTTGCTTCTGCACAGACACACATAATATATATATATATAACAGTTAAAATTCCTTTTTACGCTTCAGGGTACACTTCAATTTACTAAAACCGGTCCCGGGCTTGTCGCTTCAATTTGTTTAAACGCTTCCGCGGGCTCAACTGTCAGAACCACTTGCTGCGCTGGCGCACCTCTGCTGCGCCTCTAAAGGCCGTTCAAAACAAGGCGCAGCCTCGAAAATCTGACTCTCACGATATGGCTTCTGACTTCCAAATTCCTACGCTCGCATATCCGGTGCAAGAGGTGGTGGGATTTTTTGGGGGTTAGGTCTCAGAGTATCCAGGGCTTCTTGCCATAGACCCTATCACTAAAATCTCTAAAAGCCATTAGGCCCTATAAGGTCTGGGCATGAAAGGTATGTCGCAATAAGGTTGCAAAGATCTTAAACCCTAACTCTAACCCTAAACCCCAAACTGCTGCCCAGGTGTCAGCGCCGACGCTGCTGCACAGTGGAGCCGACCACAGCGCGCGGTGTCGCGGAGGTTTGGGCTGACCGCATCGTGCCTCGGCTCAGGGGGCCCTTAGCCGACACCCTCGAGCAGACCTGATGAACAAACCCTAAACTTCCCATTGTTGCGAAAGTAATAATAATAATATTATTATTATTATTGTAACTAAAATAAGTAAATAAATACATAATATAAACAAAAAATAATAATTATAAAGATAACAATACTAAATACTAATAATAGTGATAATAATACATAGAAGAGAAAACACCGCCCTCGGCTTCGTCATCTAGAGTCCTAAACCCTAATTCGAACCACCCCAAACTGCAGCCCAGGTGTCGGTGCCGTCGCCGCGGGACGCGATGGTGGAGACGCCCACAGTGCACGGCGTCGTGGAGGTTTGGGCTGACCACATCATGCCTCGGCTCAGGGTCCTCAGCCTAAACCTTCAAGCAGACCCGAACAACAAACCCTAAATTGCCCATTGTTGCGTACTGTTTCGGTGGTTTAGGGCTCTGGGGGTTTAGGGTTTACAGACGTTTGTAGTGTTCTTGGGCCCTATACATAGCACTCTCTACGAAGAGACCTTTACGTGTTATGCAGGGAAGAGGTGCCTCGTCGACCTACTTCTTTAGAATGTGGGTCACGGGGGGCCTTCCCTTCCCAAATCTTTGACAACGTGGGTCCCGGCCCGCTCTAGTACCGAATTTAAACATTGTTTGGTCCGAAACCTTGCGGGGACCGATGTTAAGGCGTGTAGTAGGGCTTCAGAGTTGTAGTGTTGTTGGTTTAACGGTTGGGGCTTGAGGAGGGTTTAGGGTAGGCTTTGGTTGTCGGATTACTTGGATCACAAATGTTCCGGTTTGAATTGGAAGTTTCGGGCAGGTTGGTGCGGGTGTTTTTGGACTTGGGGTGTTCGCGGTAGTCCGGCACTTTGGGATAGGTCGGAGACGGAAGGTGTGTAAAGAGCATCTTTGAACAACGGCGAACTCAGCCAGAAGCGAAGTGTAGCTACAAGGTCGCATGCCCCAAGACTCTACGCCTCTGCACTGCTGGGACCTGTTTCTGTGCGACTTCTGACAGTGAGGCCAAACTGGGGCTTGACTGATTCATGGA